AAAATTCTAGTTGTTCAGCTCTGCGGAAACATTTCAGTTCCCGGGAGACACTACCACTTATTTTGCTTAGATTCCGTCCTCACCCCACCCCACCCTGACACCGCCATAATTTTAGTGGGCTTTTCAATTGCTGATATTCAGTTAAATTAAGTCAACTGAATTCTTTAATGCACCAGTAAACATCTGTTGAGCTGTGCTATTTGTGCGAAGCTGTGGCATGTGGCTTAGGTATTTAAGTTGCTTGAGCACAAGTTAGCAGATCTCAGAATAATATAATCAGAAGTTGCAAATTTGTGTTAGAACGGAGAGCAATTAAGGCTTTAAGCTTTCCATGTTGGTTGTGGTAAAGGATACACAGAGAGTTCTGGTTTCAAATTACACTCGAGTCTTGCCTTTGAAAGTAAGAAGGTACTTCCCACTCAAGGTTGGTCTTTTATACGCTGGCTACAGTAATAACACTCTAAACTTTCTGCGAGAGAATAAGGACAGATGCCATTTTTAAACAGGAAGGTGAAGTCATATTTGGAGAAATGGAAGGCCTCGTGGCACCTTTTAAAAAAGCAGTCTCTATCTGACTTCTGAGAATGTCCATTTTCCACCTGCTCATTTGATGGTTTCGTAACCCCAGCGAAAACTGAGGTGGCCCGAATGACCTCTGTTTTCTACAGGCTACAAGGCAATGCCTTTGGAACTTGGAACTATGGTTTTGCTAATTTTTTAAGCTGTTTGTTTATAAATAGAAGTAAAGGTGATTATGTTCCACATCATTGTTTCAAAGTTTTCCTGAAATGTTTCCTGGTTTATGTATGAGTCAACCAGCTTTGGAAACTATCTGGTAGGGATTTGCTAGTATAAATTTAGCATCGCTTATATAGACCTAACACTGAAGAAGCAATTAGCTGAAAATCTCTTTTTCATTCGATTCAGTTCCTCTAGCTGAGTCTAGATTTAATTCAGAAATTTTGGACAGGGGGAGAGGAAAAGAAGAGCATCCAGTGAATTCCATTAATTTAGGGAGAAGAAGTATCCTTTTAGTTACAGTTTGCATATAATTAGACAAGAATTGATGTCACTTTTTCTAATTCGTGATATAAAATCACCAGTTAAAAGAATTATAGTGAGGAATTCTTAATCTCAGGAAACAAACTGAGGGTTGCTGGAGTGGTGGGGGGGTGGGAGGGATGGTGTGGCTGGGTGATAGACATTGGGGAGGGTATGTGCTATGGTGAGCGCTGTGAATTGTGCAAGACTGTTGAATCACGGATCTGTACCTCTGAAGCAAATAATACATTATATGTTAAAAAAAAAAAAAAGAAGAAGAAGATAGCAAGAGGGGAAGAATGAAGGGGGGGAAATCAGAGGGGGAGACGAACCATGAGAGACTATGGACTCTGAGAAACAAACTGAGGGTTCTAGAGTGGAGGGGGGTGGGAGGATGGGTTAGCCAGGTGATGGGTATTAAAGAGGGCACGTTCTGCATGGAGCACTGGGTGTTATGCACAATGAATCATGGAACACTACATCAAAAACTAATGAGGTAATGTATGGTGATTAACATAACATAAAAAAAAACTAATGATGTATGAATAGCAAGGCATGTCCACATTTCAAAGAGGCATAAAATGTGAAATGCTGTAACAACAGAAGGTTGAAAATATGAAACAGACTTAGCACAGTCATATTGCATTGGGGGGGGGAAGGTAGAACACACTAGTTAGGTACCTAAATTAATGTACAGGAAAACGGGATCTTAGAAGTATGGTGACTAACAACATAATAAAAAAAAAAGAACAACAACAAAAAAGAATTACAGTGAGGCTTATTTCATGCCGTACCTCTTCATCATCACAATCCCTTAGAATGTGTAGTGTTTTACCTCCTCTTTTTACCCACTTAGAACACTTCCTCTAACAGGGTAGGTGTTTTATAAATATTTGTTGATAGAGTTGATACTTAGTAAATTCTAAATATCAAGATCAAAGAATTATAAACTTGTACAATATCAGAAGTTTAATTAGAGAACCAATGATATATCAATGTATAGGAAATAAATCATGATCTATTTCCCTGTTTAATGATAACCAAACCAGAATTTTGCTGGGATATCATCTGTTAGAATATAAAAATATAAAGAACATAATCACATAATATCTTAGCTTCTTGATTATTTTGTGGCGAGTGTTTCTGTAATTCATAGAGTTTTGTGTGTGGGGGGGAGGGTATTGCTGGGCCATAATGATTGTGAAGATTTTATGACTCGAATAATATTCATTTCACATTTTATATGTGGCTGGTACACTGGGAAAAATACAGTTTTATCACAAAGAAAAGACTGACTTTTAAAAAGTAACTATATTATTCAGCTAACAAAAGACATGAGTCGAACACGTTTTACTTATGTCTTAATAATCAATGATTAAACGATGGGCGGTGGGGAACTTAAGTAAATCTCTTTCGTTGACTTCTTTCTCCCAAAGGAAACCTAGAATGACAAAGAAAATGCAAGCTGCTCCTGCCACTTGATTTGCAAATCAATCTAGTCTGTATTATAACTAGGAATTAAGTCCCAATAAAAAGTGTAGGGCTGGTGCTAAAACAACAGGGACCAAAGCACGACGCTTTGCCTGGCAGTCAATGACTAAAAAGCCACGTGTCAGAAAAAGACAGAAATTTGGTTAGATATACTATGGGGGCAATACAACAGCTGCAGGTCAGGTGTCACTGTGTCTCAGTATAAAGATCTTAAGTATCCCAACCGGCCGCATCTAGCTTGATCCCCATTTTAAAAAGCTTAGAAAAACTGTAGCGCTCTCCTGGCATGTGGGCAGTTTTTGTTGAATAGAAGGGCTATTAAAGGAAAAAAAAAGTCAGATAGAACACTGTGCTCTCTCAGCATTTCTGGGAAAGGAAGTAACAATGAAATGAATCCATCATTAATATTATTTGCAACTTTGACCCAACATTTTCAAACTATAGCTTTACAAATTATCCTCTTTTCTAGACCTTCCTTTTTGATCATAAAACGGCATCCTGTCCTAGGGTAGGGAAAAAATACAGTATTTATTATTGGCCATAGCCTAAAATCTGTCATTCTCCAGTGTGTAGTATACATCGTGTGTATGTGTGTGTGTGTATTTTAATAGGTAATCTGTGTATGTAGTTTGTGGGAGATGTTTAGGGGTTAGTTTATGTGTATGAAAATTTGGAATGGAATTCATGCTTGGAAGGTTAATCCTTCTGTGCCCAGTGACTTTCAACTCCAAATGGACAGGGGAAAAAGCTCTGATTTTTTTTGTTTGCCTGTTTCTAGGTTAAGCATCCTTTTGGAAATGAAGCTACAAAACAGAGACCTAGCCAAACAAACAAGTAGGCATCAACCTTCTTGCGAATACAAAGCTGAACCAAATTAAGTATCTATCCTTGCAGAAACTGGACTGACATTCTACCCTTCAAATTTGCCCCAGCCAGAGTCTCTTCTCCCCCCGCCACCGTCTGTGTTCCAAGAATATGCTGACTGCTTCACGAGTAAATATTTCAAGGGCTTGTAATGGTCCAGCAAATAGGGCCCATGTGGTTTTTTTCACACGCCTAAATGAAGGGACAGTAGCCTCTTGTCATTTTTCTTTGGGCCTGCGCTCTTTAGATTGTATTGGTAAGGGAAACAGTTTTGGAAACCAAGCACTAAAAAGTGTAACTTTGTAGACAACGTGAGACATACTATTGAGATTTGAGCAAAAACCCCAATCTGATTAACCCAAAGGGCTTATCATTCAAGAGTCACATGCCTGCCCTCCTTACTGCTACTTCCATAAGGACACACCCACAGCTCCTTTAATGTTAACATTAATAGTTATAAATCTGGCCCCCTGGAGGGGGGAGATAGGGCGGGACTGACCGCAAAGAGGAAGGAGCTGCCCAGGAGACATGTTTTCCCCAAACCAAGTTTTAGTAGAATCTTTTCCACTGGAGGACTTTCTTGAGATCAAACATTTTTAAGTTCAATGAAATAAAATAGTATTTTTTAAAGAATTGAGATCTACCATATATTTATATCCATATTTCTAAACACCTAAGCCTAGAAGACATAAAAATTAGCAATGCAGTCACTGAATAGCAAGGCATGTCCACATTTCAAAGAGGCATAAAATGTGAAATGCTGTAACAACAGAAGGTTGAAAATATGAAACAGACTTAGCATAGTCATATTGCATTGGGGGGGGGGGAAGGTAGAACACACTAGTTAGGTACCTAAATTAATGTACAGGAAAACAGGATCTTAGAAGTCCTCCGACGAACCAAGTGCAGATAATCTAAAGGTGGGGAGTGCATGTTTTAATTTCTATCTGTCCCCTTTAATAAGAGAACGTGAGGTAATTAGAAAGTATTCAACGCATTCTGGACTGTTTTGCTAATTGTCCCAGGCAAGAGAAATCAAAACGCTTCAGAAAAGTAAGGCCTAGTTGAGTATTTGGGTAAAGGCCCCCTTCAATCAGCTAGTCACTAAAAGGAAATCTCCTTATATATTCATTTTGTAGAGATGGATTGATCACGCAGTAGAAAAGGCTGGTTGCTGAGGATGTGTCTCTTCCAGGTTTCTTCTGCCTCCTCTGCTTTTACTGAGTTAGGTCTTCAGAGTGGCGAAGGAAAATAGGTCATTTTTCCTTCATAAAGTATCATTGGATGATTCCTCTTTATTAATTATATGAACTTTATAATAGCTACAGATTAAAAAAAATTTCTTTTTTAATTTTTCATCTCAAAGAGTTCTCAGTCCCCACCCCTCACAAGGTACCATGAAGGGGCACTAAAGTGCATTTGGATGTAGGGGAGTAGAGTTTAAAGGTGCTGTCCAAGCTAAGAACCAAGATGATGCTGTTTAAAAAAGAAAGGCAATTCCTTCTACCTCCAACTCTGGAGTCAGCTGAGGGAGGGCAATGACTAGACCCTCACCAGAGGATTGTCCTAACTCCTAACTTTAGAGAAAACTGTGTAAGGACCTGCACATATAGACTCATTTATTTGTCCAAAATAGCAAAAATAGGCCTATTTCACCCTTAAGAAAGTATTTGCAAATCTGATCACTCAGGATCATAAAAACGTGAAGGGGCTCCAGACGCAATCCACATGGGCATGCGCGGTGGTACTAACTCTGCGTCTTCAGCTTAAAGGAACATGCTGCTGTTCATTTTCATCAAAACGTGACTTCTAACTACCATAAATAAAATACACATGGAACGATTAAATCTTTTTCTTACAATAATTACTTTTACATTAAAAGGTCACCATCATCTTCAGATTTATCGAAAATTAGGACTCTAAATCTTATTACTTCCCAGTCTCAGTTAGCAATCTTGCACAGGCCCGATAATCCAAAACTTGGAGCTCTGATCTACACAGCTTGGCAGGTTTCACACAGTTTGACAGGTAGGCAACTGTGAGCTATGCTTTTTTAAAATTAGCATTTTTCTATCAAAACAGTCCGAAATCTTTTAAAATCCTCATAGAGACCGTATTTGTGCAACGCCACAGTTCACGTAGCTAGAAAGGAGAAAACGAAATGCAGTCTGGAAGATTCACCGCAGTCCGGGTGTTCTTGGTCCTCAGTTTAAACAACCACGGGCCCAGGAAAGCGAATGAAATACTGGGCTTTCAGTAAGAGAAGGGGTGGTCCTAGGAGCATTTGAGCTACTAAACGGGGACGGTCTCAACCACGGGTGATTTGATGCACTCTTCGTGCAACCTGCTCTTTTCTGCCAGGCTCAAAGAATTTTCTGCAGGGTGCTCTGAAATGTGACTGTCACCATTCAACGCGGAGACAAACCCTTCCTGGGAGGGGCCTTTCAAGTATGAGTGAAATTCCACTTGAGGATGATTGGACCTGGGTTCGGGATATAAGCTATTGCAGGGCACACCGCTGTCACTTTCTGCAGAGGAGCAGCAAACGATGACAGAGGGGTTGGCGGCTGGGTAGTGGGGGGCGCCGTAGGCCTCTTCAGCTTGCCGGGCATAGTCAACAAACTGCTCCGGGGTCATGGTGTAAGGCACCAGCGACAGGGTACCTGTTTTCACGGGATCTCTTTCCGAATAGCTCTCAGAGATCTGGTTAGGCGTTGCTGGAATGTGGCTATCGATTTGGTAATACAGAGTTGAAGAGTTGGCATAAAAAGAAGCATTTTTCGCGTGCCCTTCGTGGACGGCCGAGCCGTCGGAGTAACAAAGGACGGAAGGGAGCGGGACGACTTCCGCATGGGTGCCCAAGCCTTCCACGAAGCTGTCCCCTTTCTCGTCGTCGTCGTCGTCGTCCTCCTCCTCCTCCTCCTCTTCCTCCTCCTCCTCCTCTTCCTCCTCCTCATCTGACTCACTAGGCGCCAGGCTCTGCGTGCTGGAATCGGTGACTCCGCTGCAGAAGCTGCTGCCGTCCTCCTCCTCCTCCTCCTCCTCCTCGTCCTCCTCCTCCTCCTCCCCTTGGCAGTCTAATTCCTCTGCCGACTGCAGGTGCAGCACGGCGGCCTGGGGCTCCGTCTCAATCTCGAAATTGTCTGCGATGGAATACTCCACCGAGTGCGCGACGGGGCCCATGGAGCTACTGTGAGCGCTTATCTCACCGTGGCAGCCGTTCAGCGTGGGGATCTGCTGCTCCCGGGTTTTCTCCAGTTCAAGTTTCATGATCGTGTGCAAAAAGTGAGTCCGGACACGGATCGGATTAAATTCGATTCTACCTGCTGTGTTACTACATCCTTCTTTAGTGCAGCCGCATGGGAAAGACATTCGATCCACCTTGGAAGGAAGAACACAGATTAGCGCCGTGGAACTCTTAGAGACCAAAGACAACTCCAGCACCTCTCCGCAACCCCTTTGAATCTGGCATCGCTTAATCCCACTCGCGACGGAACCAATGATAATCATACTGCAAAGAAACGAAGAGGGCAAGGGAAGACTGTAACCGTCTTAAGCGTCAGCCTGGGCTTAAAACCTGTATTCAAAAGAAAAACGAGTCACGGCTGTTAAGTGTGGCATTTTAGTTCACGGACACCCCTCCCCATGCTTTCTTCTCTCTCCGTTCTCCCCTCCCCCCTTTCTCCCCGGCCTATTACTTTTGCTCCCATCTTTTCAAAGTCTCTCCCTTCCCCGGGCTCCCTTCACCCCCACAGCACGCGGCCTCACATGCCCAATGTTAAACGACACAAACTTACTGTCCCCATCCCTACCTGCTATTTTTAATCTAGAGGACATTTTCCATACTAGCCACCCCCCTCTTCTTGGCTTATTATAAAATGAACTTTTCTGCCCGACATGGCCAGACTGACACCACTTAGTCTCATGTAGCCTGATAGTTCGTTCTCCTTGGTTTTCCTTCCATTTGTTTGGATCCCTGGTCCACGGTGCATGTACGTGTCCTGCAGGGCTGGGACCGTTGTGCCCATTTATGACTCTGGCTGGTGGACCCATGCATTTAGGTCCTGGCCCTCCGCTGCCCCTCCCCACTCCAGGAGGCTATAAGCTTCTTGAGGGAGAGGGATGCTCATGTCACCGACATCCTAGAATTAGAGCGATTGGACTCTGTCAGCAGAGTGTTTGGGTTCACCAAGTGTGGCGGGACTGAACTCGTCGCTCAGGTGATCGTAGGTGGAATTCTCGGCAATCCAAGGGCCCTCCCAAGACCTTTGCTAATTGCTACCAATTAAGCTGTATGCAGACCAGAGCGCGGGCCCCCACCAAGAACCGGCCCCGCTTGCCACCTTATCCAGGCGCAGGGAATGTTCTCTGTCACAGAGGAGAAGGCAGATTCAGCACAGTCATCCTGGTTTCAGTAAAAAGTAACAGCAGGGGGCAGAGCCAGATCTGTAACTGTTTTCTTACTCATGAATCCCTTTTCTGTTAATCCACTTTAAGCAACTGTTTAGCAGATGAGAACTAGCCTCTTTTTTTTTGCCTGCCTGAGTGGCTGTCCTTATCAAAAAAGGCAAGTTTCCTCATAAAATAATGACACCTAACCAATCATGGAGCATAAATCATACAGACGTACGGGGACTTGAGGATCATCTAGTCCCCAGGTTCGTAAACTCTTCCTTTCTTTCCTTTTCCTTTTCTTTCTTTCTTTCTTTTTTTTGGTAAAGGGCCAGAGAAGAAATATTTTAGGTTTTGTGGGCCCTACAGTGTCCCTGGCAACTACCCACTGCTGCTGTAAAAGCACCAACAGCGGTCACAGACGACACCAAAGCAGACAAACAAAGAGACGCAAAATGGCTGGGCTTCGCTCAGATGTTATTTACAGAAACGGATGGCAGCCAGATTTGTCCCGTGAACCACAGTTTGCCAACCACCGGTTCAGGACAGCCCTCTCATTTTTGAGATAAGGAAACTGAGCCCAGAAAGCTTACCTGACTTGCCAATTTCACACAGCTGGTGGAAAGCAGAGCCAGGAGTCGAACTCCGTTTTCTTAAGTCCCAGTCTTGTCATTTTCCCACCAGTGTGTGCCACCACTCACCTATCGTTGTTTTGTACCCGGTCGATGGATCCGGAAACACAAACTCCTATGTCAGAGATGTCACGATCTCTCTGAGCGCTTGTAAAAACCCACAATACGCTGGTACATTAAATGAATCCAAGAGGAAATAATTCTGATGGACTAAGCTACAGCTTGGGTTGCCTCTCACATCATATCTTATTTGTATCAGCGTATTATGTACACCCAGAGATGTCCCTGACTTAGTATTTCTCTCTTCTTGAGCCATAGGTTGTGCCTTGCTGCAAAGTTTCTTCCTGTACGGGAGCAACTTCTTTCTCTGTCACGTGGGGGGTGGGGGGTATGAGGTCTCCTCTTGGGAGTCCTTGAAATCCAGATCCTTACCTGACACTTAATGCCTGCCAGGCTGCAGGTACACGTTTCTGGATCACAGAATACTCGGCAGTCGCAGCCACAGTCCTCTCTCGACAGGCGGATGGCGCGCAGCTCGTGCTTTTCTTCTACATCAATCTTTTTCACCCCCGAGGCCCGCAGCAGTGCTCTCCTTTTTTTCGTCGGCAGGGGTTGTAGAAAGAAGTACTCGTCTACCTCTGTGTTGTCTAAATCAATATCATCATCAGAAATGTCATCCACGGTAAGAGTGCTGGCTTCTTCAGATTCCACTGTGCCATTCTTGGTCATCTGGAAACACGAAGCAGCAAATACACTTAGCATTGGCAGGGTCTCAAGTTCCTACTTTTACCCGTGGTAGAATAAAACCATTATAAAACATCATGTCCCCATAATCCAGAGTGTTTGTGGGTCATCTTATTTCCTTTTATTTTTCTCTTTGGAGAAGTCACAGGAAAGAAAAAGGAAGGCATCAAAATGATAGGCTTTTAAATGCACTGGTAACAGAAGACTTCATTGGAACTCTGAACCTCCTAATGTAAGGAGTTAGAGTTTTTAGCCAGTGCGATGTGAAAAAGGCCAAGGTTACAGATGCCCATTAGGGAAAGCTATCTTTAGACTCAGTTCGTGATGGGCAGCCCTGATGGTGGAATAAATGTGTCCTTGTTCAGAGGTGATAGCATCTCAGTGGAAGCCACTGCCACCTAAATCAGCAAACATGTCCTTGAAATAACCACTCTGTCTTTTGGGGCGCCAGCAAAACCGTGAACTAGGAAATAACATCGTCCTGTACTGTGCTACTGGGATCACAAACGCGGTTACCCTACAGGACATTCCAAGAATGAGGGCTGGATATGCAGTAATCAGTCAGGTCAGTGTGCTATCAGAAAGACAAGGAGCAGAGAGCAGCGCGGGCAGGCTCTCGCCAACGGGCAACCGAAACAATAAACTCAGCCCTCAAAGGACTTCACGTGAACCTGTGCCCAAAGCAAGAGCTTCTGCGTCATAGCTCATGTGGACAGCTATGTCTCATCTACTCATAATTATTCTGCTTCTATTTATATTTCTTTTCTAAATTAATTTCATCCATCAGGAAACCCTGAATCAGTGTTTCACTTCTTACTGTTGGGCCAGCACATATTATGTTTCCTTCATAAAAAAGCACTTAGAAAGAGACATTTTCTCTGAATATGAGCGAGAAACGTACCCTGAGAAGCAACACAGGAATAAATGTAGAAACGCCATAAGGGCTTACTCTAAATGTAAAGCTATTTTGATTCTTTAATTTTTAAATTTTTTACTTCATAAGCTTCATTACTTGCAATTATTACCATGCCACTTTTAAAAATTTATTTATTTGATGGGGGGGAAGAGGCAGAGGCAGAGCTAGAAGCAGACTCCCCACTGAGCAGGGAGCCCCATGTAGGGCTTGGTCCCAGGACCCCGAGATCAGGACCTGAGTCGAAGGCAGACGCTTAACCGACTGAGCCACCCAGGCACCCCCATGCTATTTTTTTTTTTTAATCTTAACAAGAGTTCAGTTATTCCACAGTTAAAATACTCAGACATCAGACATCATCCTTTGATCTTCATAGGAGAAAGTCCAACAGTCAGATAAAAATATTTATTATTGACCCAAAACCACAAACTGGAAAACTCTGAATACACTGGAAAACAAGTAGAAGACTGGTCTTTACCCTCAAGAAGAGGAAACAATACAGTAGCAAGTGTATAGTAAAATATATTACAGAGGGCCTCTGAACTGCATTTTCAAATGCCACTAAATTATATTTTTTGAATAATTCAGAGCTTAAGCCTGTGTTCTTGCAACAATGGGCCTTCCCCTTTATGGAGTTTTACTTCTCAGTGGGATCTGCAAATGCATTTCCTTTGTTGGCATTTCTTTATGCCATGTTGGCTAAGCGGTTTCCACGTTTCTGTGATATCCACTACTAGGATGTTACTTTGATTGATAGCTGTTATCACTTTTGTTAATTCTTATTTGCTAATAGAAGCATAAGCATCTTTCTATCTGTGAAGATCTGATTTCCTAGGAAATTCAAGTGTGTAATTATCTAGCACATACTCAACCCTCTGTGATAGGTAATGCTGCATTAACAAATAGGAAGCATTACCTTTCCCATCTTGTCACTTAGTGGCATTTAGATTTGTTTTCATTAATTCTTGGCCTGTCTATGTGAGCCGTGTCAAGGTCTGATTCCATAGCTCATGTAGAACACCCAGGACTTGGTGAGCATGATTCATTTTAATATTTCTTTCCTACTTACTCTCCGTGTTCTATCTTTATGTTCCCTCGTGCAACTGGTAACATCACAAAACAATGAAAAACCCTCCATTTTATATCAACAGGGCCTGATTTTTAAAAAAATAAACGGCCGCTAATATATCAGTGAAAATTGTTAGGGGAATATGAATTAGCAATTGGCATCTAAAAATTAAAAAAAAAGCTATCTCAAATAAATTAGAGATGACGCTTATTCCAAATATAAGTGCTCTTAGAAATACAATATGCGCCTCTTATTCCCACATATTTAAATTACAATAAACAATTTCATTTCAAGATAAAAATTCAATCAAGAATCTAAAAACTCTTCACACAGAGCTACACACTGTTTTCACTCTCGTTTAGGAACCCACAGGGGCCCTAATCCAGATTTCAAAATCTCGTGTTAACACTGAGGTGATCTGGCAAAGTTTTCTCCTCACCTCCCCACTATCACCTTTGTCATTTCAATTTTTTTTTAAGTTTAATTTATTTATTTTATTTGAGAGAGAGAGAGAGAGCTTGTGACAGCAGGGGGAGGGGCAAAGGGAGAGAGAGAATCCCAAGCATACTCCCTGCTGAGCACAGAGCACCATGGGGGGCTAGATCTTACGACGCTGAGATCATGACCTGAGCCAAAATCAAGAGTCGGATGCTTAACTGACTGAGCCACCCAAGCACCCGTCATCTCTGCCATTCCTAATGAAGATTGGAAATATTTGAGTTCCTCCTAGTCAGTTGCCTTTTCTCCCCTTCCTTACAGTTTCTGGTGTGGTAGCCATTGAGAGATACTCTCTACCTCCCCAGCCCCTCCTGTGGTCTGTGCCCATTTGCTCCTTTAAAACCCAGGCCAAACCTACCAAGTTTAAATGCTCTTTAAAATTGGAGCATTATATAGATTATTTTCAAAAGCATCTTCTCATATTAGAGCAATAGGGAAAAAAGTCAGTGAGCTCCCTATTTTGGGGCACAACTCACGTCCATCATGCTCTCAAGATCTGGAGCAAAGAAACCAGAGAGTCTTCAAGACTGCCTCACCTACATTTCCTGACTTCTTTACTCTACCACCCATTTTCACAAGAATATTCATTTTGTACATTTCTTTCTTTCCCCCTCCCCCAACTTTATTGAAACATAATTGACCTAGAACATTGTGTAAGCTTAAGGTGTATGTGTCGATTTAAGACACTTGTATATTGAATAATGAACACCACTGTAGCATTAGCTGATATTGCCATCGTATCACATAATTACCACTTCTTTTTTGTGATGGGACCATTTCAGATGTACTCTCCTGGCAACTTTCAAGTATGTAACACAGTAGTGTGAGCCACAATCACCATGCTGTACATGAGATCTACAGAACGTATTCATCTTATAACTAGAAGTTTATAGCCTTTGACCAGCATCTCCCCATTTCCCTTACTTTCCAGCTCCTGGCAACCACTATTCTGCTCTCTATTTCTATGAGTTCTGCTTTTTTAGGTTCCACATGTAAGTGCTATTATACCACATTTGTCTTTCTTTGAGTTACTCCACTTAGCATAATGCCCTCAAGGTCCATCCATTTGTCGCAGATGGCAGGATTTCTCATGGCAGGATAAGATTCCATTGCATATATATGACATTTCTCTCTGTCAATATGAGGGTTACCTTTAAATGTCTTTTCTCTATCTCAAAATAGATCCATTGAATTTTCAGGCTTTAGTTCATCAGATGCAGCCTCCTTATTTTATGCAGTAATAAGGCCCAGATTAATTGTGACCTCTCCAACACACACTTATAATACCTAATTCCCTGACTCCTATTTAATATGCTTTTCCCTGTACCTCAAGGTTCCAAGGTTCTGATGGTAGACAATGCAGTGCTGGAACTCTTACATGTAATTAAACACAATGTATCTAAAAATCTATTCTGTTTATAAAAAAAAATGCATACAGAGTAATGAGCACATTCAAAGGAATGCTCCTTTTTGAGATAGATACCTTAGAAGATAGTCTGGGACGTGGACCATTTCTAGTTCAGTGCTCTTTCCCCAAAGTAACATTGACTTCCCAAGAGCTAAAAAAACCTTGCCAAAATGTGGTTTAATTACACTGTGGTTAACTACCAAATAATGCTGGCCCTCAAACATACTTTTGTTTCTGTGTACGTGTGTGTAAAAAGAGAGAGCTTGGAAGTGAGGATGAAAGGGAGGTGGGAGAGATATGAGATGAGATTAACAATATTAATAAGAGGGGCGCCTGGGTGGCTCAGTCATTAAGCTTCTGCCTTCGGCTCAGGTCATGATCCCAGGGTCTTGGGATCGAACCCCGCATTGGGTTCCCTGCTCTGTGGGAAGCCTGCTTCTGCCTCTCCCACACCCCCTGCTTGTGTCCTCTCTCTCTGTGTCTCTCTCTGTCAAATAAGTAAATAAAATCTTTAAAAAAATACCTATAACAATATTAATAAGAGCAGTTTTTGACTCTGCGTGCCTGGCGCTGCTCTAAGCACTTTACCTGCATGCACTCATTTAGCGTCACAAAAATCTCATCAGGTAGATACTATCATTATACTCATTTAACTGATGAGGAAAGTGAGGCACAGGGTGCTAAATAACTTGTCCAAGATCTCAAGCAGTAAGGGTGGGCACCAAGTCACAATCTTAGATATTTGACTCCACGGCTTGTGCTCTTAATTGCCATGATATTACATATATACACTGCTTTTATATATTAAAGTATATTGAATAGTTTTTGTGCTTACTTTGCATTTAAGCATTAGGTATGTCAGAGCACAAGATACAGGTGTTGATCTCAATGGATTGGAGTAAAGAGATGAGGAATCTAGTAATTTTTATCCAGTTCATAGGGATTTTCTAGCTGAGAGTGAACACAGGGCACCTGGGGGTGCTGGTGGTGGAGTGAGGAAGGAAGACTTCCACATCTAAGCTAAACTCTGAAGATGGAGTAGCAGTGAGATGACCAAGTGGGGGCAGAAGGCGTTCCACACTCAGCAACAATATAGT